TTCTGCCTTTACATACAGCTGATGACTTAACTCACGAACTATGCCTAAATAAACGGAATCCCTGATCGCTCTGAAACGATTCTGAACACATCCACTAAAACATTAAACGGACAATGAACAACCTCCAGTTAGACGAAATTGTAAAATAATTATCGCAGGGGCTATTTTGTTGATCAGAAAGGACAATCTTCTCGAGAAATGCGGAGATGTCGGAGCACAAAAATTCGTGTCACGTGAGAACACTCAATTCTTGGAAGTATATAATAGCTGATTGACTTAGTAAAATGGCATTATCACAGTAACATTTAAAGAATATTTCACATTCATTTTCATTACATGTCCTTCATGAATTGGTGTTTTATGAAGTCTGGCAAAAAGTCAACAGCATAATGGTCAATCGTGTTGTCAAGATCCTGCTACGCAAAATTCGATGTAGTTTTCCGTTTTCTGTATTGCTCGAGATGCAGTTGGTTAAAACAAAGAGAATCTCGGTGATACGGACGTCACAGGAGTGAAACATTCCAGATGGTCAAATGTTGACAGGCCGGAATATACGATTGTAAGCATACCATATTATTTGCACTAAGAGAACATTTATTGGGTGGAGTTCATACGTAGCTCTTGCTGACGGTGGCGTCTGCTGAGTTTCAGCGTCCTGGAAACGTCGGCGAATTCTTTACAATTTGCAGTGCTTTCAAGCGTTTACCCATAAAGATAGATTTTGTGTTGTATTTATCAAAATTCCTACGATTGTGAATACAGATAAGAGCGGCCATGCAAGTACCGGCGTATTGCTCAAACTATTAATATTTTGCCTGTTCCGTTCCTAAATTACACAAAAGTATAAACTGGATCGCAAAAAACATGTTCTTCATGTTTGAATTTAAAATAACTATTCGAAGATGAAAGTTTTGGCGGTTTTTTATAGTATATTCGAAAACGACAAGACAATCTCGGCACGTTTAGATAGAGGATTGTCTGTGGACGTTATGAATGCACTTTAGGAAATGAAATGACATAGATCTGCAAATACTGCTTTCAAAAATCAATAAATCATCTTAGCTTTTCAAAATAATCAATTCTTTTGCAATATGCATTACAAAACTGACAGGTGTGACAAGCTTAGTTTAATAAGACTCTCAAAGTTAAATTGTTCTTTTCTGATAGAAAAACAAGCTTGGATGCGCAAACTAGGTTTAGAACAGCCACTAACATAGGAAATTGCCTGAATACGTGGTAAGCTAGTTTTCTGCTCAAATATTGAACTATTTAGCCGGATAAAATTATCTAGACGCATCTCCTGCATGAGAAAAGGACATGTTTCGAAAGTGGCTAAACGAATAAGCAAAATAGGCAATTTTTTAGCTGCCTACTAAATCTCATCGCAATTTCCGTCATCACTTTTAAGGAATCAGGTCACATACTGTATCTCTGACAAATCTGAAAGCTAATTAGGAATCGATGTATGAACTTGGAATATCTAATTCAGCACAAAAACTCTCAGATTCCGTTCGAGGGCTGATGAAAAATATTATTTTCTGCGGAATAACCCACTGATATTCATGTTCTGCCGAAAGGAAGTCAGTAGGATATAAATGCTGACTAATTTGCCATACTCCCACCCGGAAACGTATGTCGCTGATTTTTTGCTGCTGGAGGACGCCGCTGCAATGGCTTCGGCCCGACTTTCGAGCAGAAACTTAGGAAGTAACCGCCCAGGGAATTATTTTACGGTTACACATCGTTTTTTGGGGAAATTAGGAAAAGTGAAACTGAAAACTTGAGTTTATACCAGAAAGCACTTGAGGAACAGAGGGGAACAAAAACCATCATAGCTACGCTATACATCGGCACCACACTGGCAAAACATGTGACCGTTAACTTGATCGGTACTCGTGCTGGTAGTACGCTAAATAGGTCAGTTCGTCCCGAACGATCAATGCGTACTTGGGTTAAAAGAGCTTTTGTTCAGATTCTTAGAGTATGAAGTATGCGCTTGATAGATCGCGCCGTCCTTTTCGTAACAACCCTAAGATCTGCGGCTATATCCCTGTCGATGTAATATCCTATTTGTCGGTTAAACCTGTAAAGAAAATAGCTATAAATCCTCAATTTCGGCGCCGCTGTGCGGCTGCTGGTTGGGGCCGAGAGAGAGTCCATAAGGCACAACGGAACGAGTGAGTTCCGTAAGAACGATCGGTGAGCGCCCCCTACCACAGTTAGAGTTGTTTTTTTTTCATACAAGGCTTTATGTCCAACAAATTTGGGCTAACAAAACTGTATGCCGGGCGGCATCCGGACTGAGCCCACAAAATACGAGAGCATGTGCTTCGAGGGTAGTTTGAGATACACGATTTTTTTACTTCGTTCAGAAGTAGCAAAGTATTGCCCTAACGCATTTGTTATATCGCACAAAATTAACAAAAGGGGACATTTCTAGGCGTTCTTGGCCTATTTCTAATAAATTCTCGGTCCACGTGGGCAAAAAAATAACATTTAACTCCCATGGTTAGTCGACAGAGAGCTCGCAGTTGTGCTTATAAAGTGCTGGCCTGAGTTGAATATTTTCACCTTTCTAACCTTCTTGACCTTAATCTGTGTCCTGGAATCGGACTTCAACTACGAATTTGTTATAAGGTTACTTATGCATCTGGGCCTTTGTCTTTCAAGAGCACTTTATTGGCTTGCGTGACTCTGATCTTTAAGTAGCAGTCCTTAGACTATCTGCCCAGTTTATCAAATCTTACAGCTATTGTTTAGAAATGCAAAACAACAACTTAAAAGATGGCGTTAAGACTGCCGTTTAGGACTTGAATAAACCTTCATATTCAGATTGAGATAATAGAGCAAATGACTGATCTCATGCGATGTGAGCCGAAATTCTGAAATGTGTTTTTTATTAAGAAGGATTATCTAGGTGGGGTTGTAATAATGCTTATCATGTGGCATAATCTCCCAATATTTCGGACTTTCTAGGATGTTGGCCTTTGAGTACACTTTTGTCGACCTGTAACAATCGCATTTGGCAAAAATTACTACTTATTAAGTATGCGTTTTTAACATTAATTTCCGGTTTCCTTATACATTTTAATGTAATTTATAGAAAAAGTGCAAAAAAATATGCATTCCTTCACTCATTCGGAAACAGATAACGTCGCCTTTTTTTACTAGAAGAATGGGTATATTTGAGTTTGGAAGGAGATTCTCAATTCCTGAGTAATTTTCTGCCAGACCAACCGTTGCACTAATGTTTAGCGATTTAAGTCTACAAGGTATATATTATCCGCATAGGGAAAACATATGCCTTTTATGAGGTACCATGTAGAATTCGTAAAATATGGCAATGGATGCGGACTATGTTGTACACCTAGTGAGGAGCATAAATAAGTTGACAGGAACAATTATGAATGGGTGGACATCACAGGGTCTAAAAATCTCAAAATTAGAAACTTTTTAAAACCGAAATACACTCGTTTTTTTGAATATAAAAATGAAGATAACGCGATCTGTCTTTGTACATGTTTTCCATAAAAAAACTTGAATTCATAGGTTCACCGGAAATCAATGTGCAGAATGCATGCTAATTAGGAAGCCATTTTTGGTGAGTGCGATTTGTGCAGGAAATTAAAAAGAAATGAATTCAAATGGCAACATCCTGGCAGATCCAAATTATCATAGGATTATGCTGTATATTTATCAGTATTATTAAATCATCTAAGGTTCGGGCTTTAGGGTCAGGAACAGGACTCCAGTTTTAATGTTGGGGATAGAATTAGAATTAGGATTAGGGTTTGGGGTTGGAGTTAGGTTTAGGGTTAGGGAGTCATTCCGCACCCATTTCCTGCAACGTTCGTTTACGGCTTACGTCTGATTGGTCACATTCTTGGGTTATTCAGTTTCGACGACCATGACGGGCCAATCAACCTCATTCTTTGTGGTATTGCCTTTTCTGGTTACCTGCAGCAAATTTTTGCATTGTGCGCCGCTTAGGCTGGGATTTTAGTATCCAATGAAACAAACACGCATATTTACCTACAATACCTGCGTTTTTCCCTTAGCTTTCGCACATTCTTCACTGTTTTCCTGCAGCCTCAACCGTAAAATCCCCTTTACAATGTTACTCCTATTGAACGCCCCTAGGCCTTCCCATGCCCCAACTGAACCGCGTTTTCGAGCCGTGCCAAAAGTTTAAATAGATAATTTTCGTTTTTGGATACCCCTCGTATGACAATAGGGAGACGAAGAATAAAAGAGGAATAAAAGAAAATGAGTAGAAAGCGAATGGCAATAAAAAGCTGAAAACAGGTGAGGCGAGCAAGCGAGCGAGAACAAAGTTATCGTTTTTCATTGAAGCACATCGCCCTATTTTGCAGTCAGTATTATATTTCTGTAATTATAAATTGTTACTTTTTAGGCAGCTCATTTTGACGATAAGGGCACTTACTGATCGCACTTTTGCATGGATTAAGACGAAGCTGTAGATAATAAAAGTGAAAATCGTCGGCACATATAGAAAGCTCCGTGTTTACATGAAACCAATGGTGGCCATTAGCGGTCTCTTAATTAGTCTTGTTGACAAAATTTTCACTGGTCTTTCAGCCGCCTCCTTAAGAAGTTCAACTGGGACAGGGGCATTCAGACGAACCAGTCGAAAGTCCATCTCAAGGCGACAGTCCAGCTCGCAACCATGTTCCTTCCAGCTCCCAGTTGATATGTCCCATTTCTTCAGCTGGAATTCTCTACCTACCGCAAGCGGACATAGGTGTTTTGTGCGGGGAAACCGCATATGTCGGTTCTCTGCCCTGTTCTCGTTGCCTCGAAGGCTCTTGTCAGAAGTCCAGTTCACAAGGCTAAGGCCATTTCTGCTAACGTTCCGAGGAATCGACATCCTAAGAGAACCACCCGCACTCCCAGACCCATCATCGAATTGCCCTGAAGGCGCACTGCGATGCAAGTTCACCTTGGCTGACGAGTTGACGGGCCAGGTGAGACTACGTAGCATGCAATACGGCAAATACAAGATTAACCATTCCAAGGTAACTATACGTCCAATCTTTGTTAAAATTTTGAGTTTCTGGCCCCTAAATTGCAATAAACACATTGAGCTGATCTCCCATTTCCTATAGCAGCCACAAGCAACTCTGGTATCTTTCTCCAGCCTATTAAACAACGACAAAAGCAAGGAGGAGGTTTTTTGTTGGCAAGATCCAATCTTAAAAACTATTGATTATAGTTGTTTGCTCAGTCGTAACGCTGTTGCAAATGAACAAAGTTAAAATGTTACACACAGCTACTGGGAAATGAACTGTTCGACTCATGCGGATGTTTGCGACTTCATTGAGGAAAAGGTGCTCCTTAACACCATTTTCACCTACTTTAAACTTACATACAATCTGGCATCTTCCAATATCCTGTTGAGGCGAATTGTTTCTCCGCTTTTTGCGTCTTTAAAGATAAAAAGGTTAACATTATATCTGAAAGTATGTCGAAACGATTGCATGGTGGTTCGGTAAAAAAAACGGAAACTTCTGACTTTCTGAGTGTGCTGTAGTTCTCCATTCTCTTGATTTTCAATGAGTAAGCGCCATATCTCCTCCTTTTTGTCATAAGTTCGGATTATTATATTGTGAGGGACTGTAGTTCTAAATAGAAAGCATGTGGTTTAGGAAATTTTGGGTGAAATTTGGAGCATTATGCGTGGCGAATTCTTGTTGGTCATAAAAATATATATTATCTATCATGTATGTGACATTTACAGGTATAGTTAGACCAGAGAACATGCACGTCCCGTTATAGATACCTCACAGGCTAGTTGTGTATAATAAACCAAGATGGTTACTCCTGTCTAAGGTTTTCGCATTTACTTCTGAGTTCTGATTGGTCACGGGTTAACTGCGTGCGACGACTAAGAACTGCAACTCTTGTGCGGAACGGAACGTACAAGGAGGTATCCAAAAAACGAGAATCATTTTTTTCAGGCAAGTAGATTGGCAAATGTTGGCCTCTCCCAGTAGGTACGTTTACCAGACACCTTTCCCACTCAGCTGGCCAAGTGGCGTTCGCGAGAAACCATAGCAGCGAACAGAGTGATTGTTTACTCACCCCCTCCCCCCCCCCCGCCGTCCCAACGCTCTCGGTGATATTTTGCACAGCAAGTGAGATCAAATTTGAAGTCCACGATGGCTAGGTTTTTTGACATAAAAGGCTTCATTCAGGTTGAATTTGTTCCTTTTGTCAACACAGCGAACAGACACTGCAGTCTGTATGCAATGAAGCGATTTTGTGAAGCAGGGATAAAAAAACTACCTGAATTGTAGCGATCGGGGGGTTAGCTGATACGACAGTGACAATGCGTTTTTTGTCAAAACGGCATGACAACAGCTTCATACACTCTTCCCCTTTTTCCCTCGACCCAGCCCCCTGCGATATTCTCTTATTTCCAAGAATGAAGAAAGAGCTAAAGGGGGATCGTTTTCAGAACGTGGAATAGGTTAATAAGGAATCACTGGAGGCACTTAATAACATTAGTTCGGAAGAATATTTAAATGCTTCGAGCAGTGGAAAACCCGTTGAAAATGTGCATATAATCAGATGAACAGTATTTTGAAGGCGACTAATGATTTGGGATGCTATTTTGTATGAAAGTTTAAGTAAATTATTCCCACTTTTGAGCATCCCGTCGTACGTGCTCATTGCTGGAAGACACTCCTTCAACGTTAACGCAGTATTTTTCATCTTCAACCAAAGGAGAATGCGTCCATGGTTTAATGTTTGAGTGGTTGTGTGAATTTGCGATGTTTAAGGCGTCTGGATTCAAAGTGAAGATTTCCTGACATGTGGTCTTGGCGTGTGTCTGACCGAAGACTGCTAGTAATTCAGAAGTAGGCAATGCATTCTGCCTTATCCTTGTTGTAATTCCAGATGCGGTCACTGAAAGTGGGCACATACATTTAAGCTTCTAGTTTTCAGATGTCCGAGTAGGCGAAATAAGAAATATATCAGCAAGGCGATATGTGGAAATCTAACGACTGAGACATAGTCAAATTGTTAAAGCCCGTTGCTGATGATATGACAACCGAGGAACTTTGACTGGCTCAAAGAGTCTGAATTTGTGAAGTCAATCAATTTGCGTCCTGATTCCACTGTCAAATTCTCGAAGATCCATGAGTAAATAGACTTGTGGTTTATTATCAACGATCTTTCCTTATTCTTATCCTTTGTTCTCATGTATTTTGTTCATATTTTGATATTTAATTATTGGCAGCTAAGTAGTACTGCTACAGCAATTCGCAAAGCCCCAAGGAGTTTGATGGGGTCATTGTGCCATAAGATACAGCCACTAAGTGCTGCGCTCACTCAGCCATTAGTTCGGATCTATTCAGGTGCTGCTGACAGGCGGATGCGGGCCAAAAATGAAGTTTTTGGATGTTCTTCGATTTCGGCCCCTCGAATTCGAATTGGAATGTGAGGGGGCTAATACCGCCCCCAATGAATGCGGCCGTCTATTCGGAGAAGATGTGACAGACGCCGAGTTTGGCATGCTTACATCGACAATCAATTCGGCAAAAATGGACATGGTCAAGAGAAAACCCAAGTATCATCGAAAGGCCCTCGTTTACCTTGACTCAGTCCTGAAGGCGTGTGGTCGACCGGTTTTTCTTGCAGTACCGTTGTTGGCCTGTCGTGGACAGATACCCTGCATTCAGCGATCCACGACATCCGAATACTCAGGGCTTTCCACGGAGGACGTGGATGTATTTGGGGAACCAGATTTCCTTCTCTCACTGCGACTAGAATATTGGCACTCTAGTTCGGATCCAAGTAACACTGAGGGGAGACACATCTCCCGCATAATTGTCATAATTCCTGGTCAGTGTCTGGAAAACAACTCAGGTAGGTTGCTTTTTTGAATCACACCCTTTATAAGAGTTAGCCGGGACGTTTACGTTTCTTAACATTGCTAATTTGGTCAAAGGACTGAATATGTTGTCAAACAATTCTGTCAGACACAGTCTAGCCGAGGACCACAAACATCAGTTAGCATTTTCTTGCCTCACGCATACACTTAATGCTTGCCCGAATCCCCTTGAGTCCTTAACCCCTTAGCCGATGTTGTCCTGTAGGAAACAGTATCTTTATGATGGAATAAGAATTTGGTGACAAAAAGAGCCGTTGAAGCTATTAGGAAAACTGGATAATCAAAAGTTTCTGAAGTGATTATCCCGATAATAGGGATAAATGATTAACATATATTATAGCAAAAGAGGACAACAAGCTCCCTAAGATGTGTTTTTTGTTTGAAACCCAAACTCGACCGTTCAATATCAGATCAACGAGTTCAGAGTGTACCCCGCTTTATAAGATTCGTAGCCACGTATGGCACCTTACATGTCGTGCTTGCTGTCTGCGAATCGAATGGATTATCCATCCCGCTTGCGATTTCACCAAAGTGCTCTATGTGCTCTAAGTGCCCCAAAGTGCTCCATCACTGTGGAGAAAACTGGTGGTTCAAAGGGGATGAGCACTTAAAGCCCGACCCCCAATGAGATTGACAGTCCTTTGGGTGGCAGCCCAAGACTGAGTACACTGGAAAACGAAGCATGTAACTTTGACTGCGCGTCGGATTAGCCAGTTTCTACTGAGAGACAGGCGCATCATTGCTCGGATATTCAGGTTCTAAATGAGTGCATTCTGATGATTGATTCTTCTTATGCGAAGTGAATATCTTTGATAAATTCCCAAAAATCAACAGACGACCCAGATTCCCAAAGAAAAAACCCAAGTAACGCGTCTTACTAGGAGGGAAAAGATCCTAAACAACGCTCATCCTCGTGTTTTTGTGAAGAGTTCCGTCAACATTATTTGCTCTCGAAAGACACGAGTGCCCTGTTTCTCAGAGTTTTGAAATAAAGAAAAAGGGCCCATATTTCGATGGGCAGTCAGAACAAGGCTCACATATTACTGCGAATACTTAAAGCAGCGCTGCCAGGAGGTAAACCGATCGTTACTACCTCTGCAGGGCTAATCATTCATGATTTTGTGATCGCCTTCGAGCGCTGCGGGTCAACCAAATTGGTGGACACCACTCTTGAGTCACTGTCAGTATTCCCGATCTCTTTTAGGCAAATATGAGCCACTTGAGCAACAGGCAGAATTATAAACTTAAATTGTATGCGTCTAAATTTATCTGCCTTAGAGCCGATAAATCTAAGGTAGAAGGCACCCTATGGGTAGATCACGGTTATAAGTACTTACGTATTAGATTTGCCCCTGCGCCAAATTCAGGGTGGTCAGGATTAAGGTTGGGGCCACTGCTAAGGTTAGGGCCAGAGTTAGGGTTAGTGTTAAGGTATGGGTTAGGAATAAGTATCCCCCTGAAATTTAACGCCTGGCCACTTATAGTGCGCGGCACTTATAATCGTTTCCAACCAGCCTATGCATTTGAAACCAGGGCCAGTCTGTCGTTTGTAGGTCCGAGTCCAAAATTCGGTCATCAGCAATGCCCTGGATTCGTTCATTTGTGCTAAATATCTCCAGATAGTGATTTCTGGAGAGTATCTGTGAAAGAGGGGCTTCCGCCAGCAATGAGGGCAACCACAGGGTCGCGGTGGTTTAAAACGCTTTAAAAAGTTCAATTTCTGAAGCATAACCTTGACGTCGTCTACATTTTCTGACGAACTAGAACATTTATCTGTAGGATGACAATAGAAACCGGGAAAACCACACGGCGGTACCCGATTTAAGTCCGGATCCTCGAATTTGCGTAAGACGCATTACGACTGAGACATTTGAGTCCCACATGATAACTATGCGGTGTGGCCTTCTGATCCGCTTACTCAACTGCGATTAAGTGGTTGAAAAGCATACTGCTGCCTTTCTCAAATTCAACAAAGCGTAAACCCATCCCCACCTAACTCTTGCCTAGGCCAAAATAAAATGCTCAGTATTCTCTCGTCAACGACTTTTACAGACTTCATTGCAACCTGTAACCGCACCCGTGTGTTCTAAAAAGATTCTTATTGGTTCAGTACATAACAGTTTCCATTTACTCATTCGATTCGTGTAAAACTCTGACAGGGAATTAAAACAGTCACTAGAATTTCGTATTTGCTTGTTGAGCCAACTAACGCACCACGAAGTATGGATGAGTGCTTACCTCTGGGTGACAAATGCCTCTCAAAAAGTACTTTTTAAGTGTATTCAAAATGGAGCAAAACTCATCCTCAAAGGAAAGCCTCCTTGGTTGTTCATAGGCTCTTACTTCGAAAATCCGACTCAATGCGCCATCAATACTGCAAAGAGGATTATTGACGAGGTCAAAAACGAGACCAGCTCATCAAAGAGTTTCGAGGATGACAGTTCAGAACACAGATCGCCGTCTCCGACTCTGAAGGTAGCCGGGTTCATCTTCTGCGACCCATCTGGACGGCACATATTCTTTATAGAGACCAGCGAGGAACGATTAGCTCACAAGCTGGCCTCCATTTTCTGTCGCCTGGCTTCGCAGTACACCAGACATAAGTTGGACCAGGCGCCAAGAGTACTTTACAATACAACTCTGAAGTTTACGTCCTACCTTTTTGTGAAACTGCATCACCTTTGTTTAAAGGCTCCTCTGCAGAAATTTGTGGAAGGGGGTCTGCTGTACATTCGAGACCTCGTCCCCGAACCTGCCTTCGAGGCTCTTACACGACTGTATACTCTCGCTGAGCACTGTCCTAGCTTTAGTGCGGCCCTGCGGCTAAACCTCCTTCCAGATCCCACCGGGATTCAAGCGCTTTGTCAACACTTTTGTTTGTGGTCTACGGATTCCTGAGATTCGCTGTTCGTCTTCATTCTAAGGGTATTTACTAAATTCAATCATGTAAATTATTGCTTTGCTGACTATTATATTTCATGGTTGCAAGGTTTATATCCTGAAGACAGTTGTTTTATATAGCCTGATGGTCTGGTCAGTGGAAAATCAGTTATACAGGATGCAAGGCGCGTGTGCTTATCCGTGGCGGTCAAGACTCTGTAGGCCGACTGAAAAGAGCGTTTATACTAGAGTCTAGAATCCCGTTAAAACAAGTGTATGAAACATTACTTTTCACGTTCTATCCGAAAGGCGACCTTAAAAATGGACGGGATTCTAACAAGTTCGGCGAAATGAACCTCCGAACTTCCCAGTCTACCCATAGGAAGCCAGTAGCATCCAGATTCACCGTGATATTTACAGGGCTAACCAAACTCCCAGTCATGCGTTTCGTTTATCTTGTGGCAACACCAGATAACCGAGATGATTTTGGCTTATAAGTGAGTTTGCCAGGGTTCTTCATATGGTTGCTGCTACATCAACACTCCAGCTCATTGCTAAACACAGTTACTTCTAGGCAAACAATAGCTCTTTCGTTACGCTCGACACGGAGCTCCGTTATCCGAGTGGTAGTGACATTCTCTGGCATTCAGATCATGTAATTCGGGTACTATTCTCAACCAACCCTGTTTTTCACGGCAAAGAGGCAGAATACTTTGCCAGCCCAGACCACCTATACAGGTGCATTCACTTCTATTCTTGCTCCTGTAGAGCAGGTTACGTTGATCGCACAAGTCGGCACCTATCAAAATCATGCGGGAACACCTACCGAAATGTCTGAGAAAAGGCAAAATTAAGAGCGGAAGCAGTGCTATTATCGAACGAATTATTGATTTTGAGCGTTGTGTAGACTCTAAAGAAGCATTCTTTATGATTTATGGGGTTCTAACGAACCACTTCAAGTCACTTGGTCAGTATCTGTTAGCAACAACATAAGCGACTGTCGTTAGGTTACGGAAGCCGGGTTTGTGCGCGTAGAAGTACCGCACGCAAGCTCCACATCTACCATAAGAAAGTTCGATTAACAGCATATACTTCTCCAACCCTCCGTTTGCCCCTTCTGGCGCGACTCTACTTGTCCCTCATTGACTCCTAATTCGCCGTCTCTTCTTTCCTTCCTCCCCTATTCGCACACCCCATCCGTATGAAAAGACGATCCTTGATTAATTTCTCTTATCTTTCACGTTTTATGTGTGCCCGTTTCCACATAAATGTACTGCTCCCCCCCCACCCTCCCCCTCCATGGAATCGAACAGCACGATCGGATAGGCACTATCATAAAAGTTACCATAAAAGCCATATGAGAGAATCCTCGATGTCTCACTCTGTATCACGATGCAATCTTATCTTCAGGCTGACAGGTTTCAAATGGACGATCCCCAAATCCTCTCGTTAGTTTAAGTGCATTAACTTGACTCTTCTAGGCGCAGATCCACCAGAATGTAGGAGATAGTTTACGTCCGACGCCCGAGCGTCATTGGTGGTTAAGGTAACCTTTTTGCCAAAATACGCTTGCGTGTGATTGGTCATTAATTCACAATGCCAAAGACAGTGCCGCAAATCCCCGTTCATCACAAAATTTAACCAATCTTCCAAGTGTTTTCAGCTGCGTATGCAAGCATTTTAGCTGTAGAGGGAAATAAAAAGCGGCAGGACGCGAGAATAGAAATCCCTCATGTAATACAGGCAGTCTTGCACTATATTTTAGGAGAAGTACATGTTCCCGTGTCTTAACCCTAGCCCAAACCGTCACACTAACCGCAATCCTAACCATAACTCTAACTGTGACCTTCATGGAATTTGGTGCAGGACCACCCATGTTACGGTTGAAGGGATTCCTATTTTCATGTCTTATGTAGGAACATTTTATCACCCTATAATCACGCTTATATTTCTCATGAAAGATTGTTGTCTTTTGTTTGCCTAATGCATTTGAGACTTTGATAGGTCTTGTCTCTAGGAAAATGCAGGTACCTGAATCCCAGTACAGTTTCTTTGTAGACCGTCAATCGTGGCTTAATAACGTGTCTGAAAGTTGGAGAGCAGGAAGCAGGCCTTAAAGAAAACGATTGAAGTCCCTAAAAGGAAGCGATCAGCAGTTCCAAACCTATTGTTGTGAAACTTGCTCTGTTGAGGGGAACATTTCAATAAACCACCTACCCGAAAGGCTATATGCTGAAATTTAATCAGACGTTGTAGAATATCCCTGGACAATTCCTGTCTACATATGTTGCTCGGTCGGTTCCTCTCCAAGTGCACCGTTTAACTCTTTGAAGACTCGAATCTATGTTGTTACTTAAATGTCAGACGCTAATGCAAAATTGTCAGTAAACCAAAAGGGCACGAACTTGTGCAAAAAACGCGGGACAACACCCCTAGCGCAGGACATCACAAACCGATTAGGTATCCGCTGAACAGCCCCTAGAGAAAACCTTTAACCTGGAAAGATCGTACTTTGAGAATGTGGCTTTAGCTTTATTGAAAAGTGGGACATCTGGTAGGGGGCGCTCACCAATCGTTCTTACTGAACTCACTCGCTCCGTTGTGCCTTACAGGCTCTCTCTCGAGCCCAACCAGCAGCCGCACAGCGGCGCATCAAATAGACAGTGGGACATCTGACAGACTATTCTAGGTGTTAGAAAGTCCGCAGTGGTTGCCGAGGGGCATCACAAAGCTCCAAGGTTTAAAGTTTCATCTGCAGTCACCAAATATTGCAGTAAAGTAAGCCACCTTGGAAATACAGACCTTAGTATTGGTTTCTTCCTTACCACCGCCGCGAGTCACCTGCAGAGGGCCCGTACGAGAGCTGTCAGACTAAGCTGTCAGAAGCTTTGACTGCCATACTTTCGTTTTTGTGCAGGTGTCTAATTCACTGCTGAGTGCAGTTTGCAGCTACTGGACCCTTACGTGTCAAGGTCACGCGTCTTTAATCGAACGGTTGATAGTCTAATTTGCGGATCGATAGGTGGCGACTCGCATGTCCTGCGCGTCCGGCGACAAGTGACAAAATGGAGAATGAGGAATTTGTGTTCAACTCGCGGATGTACGCGGACTGCGCTCAGTTTGGCATGATAAATAAAAACGCAACGCGAGTATGCAATACAGTGACGACTGTCGGTGGCGTCGCCGCACTGCTAGTCCTACCGACTGTTGTTTTCGGAGTTATCGGGGAACTTGCCCTCCTCGCTGCTTTCTGCAACAATCTCATCCGATCTGCCCGACAACATGCCTACAGTTCATTTCAGTGCATATTCGGAATAGCCTTTCTCTTGTATTTTGGGATGTACGACATGTTTCTAACCAAAGGGCTCCTGTGGCTCGGCTATGATCCGTTTTTTTTCGAGTATTCCCATACCTTTGCCTGTAAAACGTCCCGCTTTGTCCGCTGTTTCATCT